GAACCCTGACCAATTTCTAGTTATGCCCTGGACCTTGGAGATTCGTGGGAAAAACTGGAAAGTTAAATATAACCCCTAGACTCGATTATGGTACTGCACTGGGTGTTGGATTGGGATGTCATTGATATGCCATTCAATGAGATCCTTTGGGGGTCAAAACCTTTGTATGTTGGGGCAGTCTGAGAATTCACTCGAGTGGGTGATCAAAGTGACAGGATTAGTACCTTGTTGGACAAAGTGAATGATCGGGACTGCACTCTCTCTGATGGAAATTAAAACTATATATATATATATATAGGTTTTAATTCCCGGGACCCTTCTGAGTAGAGAGTGCGATACTACACCTTGCAGCCAGCAGCTAGGGGAGAGGTCCTTCCCTGTCGAGCAGTGTTTGATCATTATGGGCTGACCATTTAGGGCTATTTTACCTGATGGGCTATATCTCACTTAAGTCCATTGTCCTTGAGCTTCATAGGATGGTTGGACTTAAGGAGCTTTTAATATAAATGTTGGGCCCATTAAGAGCCCATACTGATGGACTTAGGGGTTCTCTATACTTGATAGTGAATTCGGCCAGGCTTTTTCACAGAAGTTGGGTCGAACCCATATGGGCTTATGTGAGGTCATTGTTGGGGTCCCACGCTATACAAAGAGAACCAAATGGGCCAACAATTATCAAGGGTCGTGAGCCACTTGTTTAATAGGCCTAAAGCCCATGATTAATTAGATTAATCAAGTGGTGACATGACAGCTTAAACAGTCATGTGACATGGGCGAATATGGGTATGGAGGTGGGTTTGGATCAGCAATTAGGATAAGAGGATAAATCTTATCCACTTAAAGAGTCCAAATCCAAATAAAGATTTGGATTAGGACGCTCCAAATTGGATTAGGAGTGTTGATTCTTAAGGCTTATAAAAGGTGGGCAAACTGCTCCAGTTATCAATCTGCTCTCAATTCTCTCCTTCTGCTCTTGCCGCCCATAAACCCTAGTTCGACCTCCAGTTCTTGAACTAATAAAGATCAGTTTTGATTTCTGAGTTTTGCAAGAAAATATTAGATTCAATTTGTGCTCACCACCCTTGCTCGATCCAAGTTGTTGGATTACAGTTTTTGTTGAAAAACTGTGTTGTTGAACCGACTTCAATTCAAATTGCGCCATCTTCAGTGGAAGCTGGTTATGGTACACTCTTTGGGTGTGAACTACCACATTGGGAGCTACACTTGTGGATTCCATATCAGGTATATTTCTCCCTTCCTTTTGGTTTCAGATATGGTCTGGTTCGGTGCAAGAATGATCCTTGAAAAATGGAGTTTATCTAAAACTAGGAATACGATTTTCGGAAGGGTAAAATAAAATTTTTGAAATCTTGCCTAGCCATCTAGCATGGTTCGGCCATCCATATGATGGATTTCAGTAGGACCGTAGGCTCTCGTCATGTTGCTGTCAGACGACCATGAATGAGATGACGCTCTATTGGCATCATCGACTACTGATAAAGTGGGCGAGGAAGAGGTTGGTGAACTGGTCCCAGGAGCTGATGGAGCAAGGTGGGAGCCCGGAGAACTAGTGCCGAGCTACCCCCTTAAGGGTTGCATGGAAGGCTCGAGACATCAATGCGTTGTAGTACCCGTATAGGAGCATGAGTGCCCGGAAACTCTCCAGGTTTTGGTCTGGGTCGGAGATGCCTTCGTAAGTCTCTAGTATGGGAGCTTTAAAATGTTGTGGAAGAGGCTCCGAGGTGCTGGCAGCGGTGAAGGTGTCCATCCTAGTGGAGGGATACTGTCTTGCTGAGGTGTCACCTCGGCTCTCCTTAACTTGCCGAAGTTCGTCCTTCACCACGCCAAGCTGTGCCTATATGTCGGCGATCTTCTAGCCGATGGGTATCTCGGCTTCATCCCATTCTCCTCGACGGTGGGACGGGCCGATGCCTAGGTGGGGCGGCCACCCTAAGGGCGACCTCTTGCTTGAGGACACACCTCCTCGACATGCCGGATGAGGTGGTCCAATCGGTTTAGGATCGCTTGGAATGGCTCTTTGGTGACCTAGTTCTGGGCATTCCTGGTGTTTCGTACCATGTTGATTGGAGCTTAGGGATGTTCTTGATTGCAAGTTAGATTGAAGGAAGTCTTAGCAACATTCCCACAAACGACGCCAATTGTTGATGCTCGGATTGGCCGAGGTCAACACTATCAATTCACGCCTAAGCCCGAGGGGATCCGAGGTGCTGGAAGGCGAGGCCCGAGTTCTGGGTGTGAACTACCGAAATGGGGGAGATCCGAGGCCTAAGTTCTGCGACATCTGGTATCCGGGGTAGATAAGGATCCTGAGTTTAGCTCTGCAAGGAAGGGTAACGTCAGAGGCCCCAGGTGAAGACCCATGGCGAGGACTCCGATGGTCAAGTTAGCTAGAAGGTACGAGGTGGACGAGGTCTGAGGTGTGAACACCCATACGAGGTCACAACAAGAAATGTCCACAATGAGCTAGAAAGCTAGAGTGTTCGATCCTTTACCTGGATGTGGTTGCCTCATATTTATACTTGAGGCCGCCAGGGGGGCAGGTGACCTCGGATGGCCTGGATGCAGTCCGTACTGAGGGCGCGATCATTTGGGAGAACCAGGTGAGGGTGCGTGATTGGCTTCGTGAGACCTGCCAAGCCTAGCCTAGTGTGCACCCTAATTGATCCAGCACGAGGTGCTGACTTTGGCTTTGCCTACGACTCGATTGGTTCCACTCTGTGCTTCACCGCCTGACACATGTAAACTCGCCATTAGCCCAGCCGAATGCGCCCACATCAAGTATCACAATATCAAAGCCTATCCCATGTTTTAGGTTTGAATCATAGAAACGACTACTTAGGAGAAAGGCCACCTGGAGTAGAGTGAAAGCCATAAGAGGGAAAGAACCATATACCACTTGACTGAAAGCTGCTCAAAGTGAAAGCCGCGAGGATATCAACTATAGAAGTGCGGTGGAATACTAAGGGGTGATTATTTATAGCCCGACTTGGTCCGCAATGTATTTATACATTGCATATATATTTTATATGTACTTAAATTTTTCTTAGTTATATATATCTGATATTTATAGAAATCATAACATTACTTTATACGTACAACATATGCAATATAACGTGAAATATTTAATATATTAAAGGCGTAGGCCCAAAGCCCGCCCCGGCCCATATAGACCCGGGCTATAGCCTTCATAGGTGATAATTCCAGCCTGGGGCCCGCAATGGCCCATGATCACCCCTAACTCATGGTCACTACTTGAGTTGTGGGTTTACAAGTGAAACCGATCAATACATTCCTAAAATACAAAAGAACTGTAGCATACTAAAATGCAACCGACAACTTTTGTCCCTTTGTTTATTTTGGTCCTGTGCTGTATAGCTTCCACTTTTTCCCGCTATTTTGTCTTCTAATATTAATAATTTGTTAGTTACTTATTTTTGTGACATTTTGGTCGGGGCATTGTCTCGTAGCCATATAATGCCTTTGAAGTTTGAGCCTTTGGGTTCCTCAAACTTGTCCACGCGTCTCCTATTCACACGTTCAAGGGATTAAATTAACTCTCGATGGGTTCTACCAATGTACTTCCCATATTAGCGGATTAGTTAGCAAGTGCGTCAGATGCATTCCGATAGAAAATCGCTTTTCTTCACATGAAAATGGAACCCCCCAAATTGTCAATTAACGGTTTAGGGTTGGATCTCTAAATCAATTTAGACGGTTTGGATGGATCAAAATAGATTGAATTGGGCCAGTTCAAATTTAATGGTTTAAAGTATTTATTGGAATTATGATATTGACGCAAGTTAACAGTTTATACTGTTTTGGTCTCAGGCTTTGGGTTGGACCCTATGAAAATTTGAGAAAATCTCAATCCTAATTCGCAAAAGTTGCATCTTTAATTGGATTATTGAATTGGTCCTGATATATACATTGGATTGGGTTGATGGAAGAAGAATACAGATGCAAATGGACTAGGTTTGGATTACACTGTTTTGGTCTCAGGCTTCAGATTGGCCCGATCAAATTTTGAAAAAATCTCAATCATAACCCGCAAAAGTTGCACCCTTTATTGGATTATTGAATTGGTCCTGGTATATACATTGGATTGGGTTGAAGGAAGAAGAATACAGATGCAAATGGACTAGGTTTGGATTACACTGTTTTGGTCTCAGGCTTCGGGTTAGACCCGATGAAATTTTGAGAAAATTTCAATTCTAACCCACAAAAGTTGCACCCCTGATTGGATTTGAATTGGTCCTGGTATATACATTGGATTGGGTTGATGGAAGAAGAATACAGATGCAAATGGATTAGGTTTGGATTAGAAACAATCCAAATTAAAAACAATTTAAACAGATAAGATGGTCCAAACATTGACTGGTCCAAAATATTCATTGGATTGAATTGAACCTGGTTCATTTATAATGAGTTCATATTGATCCGGATCGGATTGAACCAAGTACTTTCAATTGGCATCTCTTATGCGAGTTGGGTTTGGGCCGAACCGAACCCATACCATATCCCACGGTTCCCACCCGTACGCATCCCAATCAACCATGTGGTGAGTAGTGGTATTTCAGTCTGAACGGACTTGGTTGGAGTTGAACGAATACAAGCTGCAGCTTATTTTACTCGGTGTCTCGGCGTGCAACTTAGATCTTCCTCATACTATTTCGCTAAAATACACCTCAATTAACATAGTCAATAGTCAACACTCCTTGCTGTTTGTTCTTCCTAGCTAAAATCAAGAATTAACTCTGTATTTGGTTGTAGTGCAATTTTCTTTGCACTAATACACTTGTATGAGAAGTGCAAATAAAAAAAGATACAAATTCTTATTTGATTTTGTTTTGGGTTTTACATGTCTTAATTTATTTCATTTGTAATCAAACAAAATAAGGTAAAAATAGGTCAGAATTTACACTCAAATCATTTGTACTACCACAATTTAGTATCAATGAAAATTTATTTGCATGAACGAATTAATCAGATATTAATTAAGATTTTAAGATTTTAAGAGCAGCAAAACATACTTCGCCGGCGATCAAATATCCTGTGCGTTTCCGGTGGCGAGTTAATAAAAAACACAAAACAAATTAAAAAAGAAAAAAAAAAAGGTCTCGGCTTCCGGTAGGGGAAACAGTGAACACGAACTGGCCAGTTTCAGGAACTTTTTGGTTTCTTACAAGGAAGCAAAGAAAACGATAAAAAGACGTCTCTCAGGTAATTACATTGCTGTAGAAGGGTAAAATCGTAAAACTGAAGAAGAAAACAAAAAGAGAAACAACCGTGTCCGCGTTTTTGCTCTCAGACTCTCAGACTATGCAAGAGCAAAACTTCAAATCCTATCTATCCACCCGCTCGGTTTCTGGTGCCTCTGCGATGACGAGACGACGACGATGTAGGTCTCATGGCAGCAAAAGAACAGTTTTCTCTTTTAACGCTCTCTTCGTCCATGAAGATCTGCGTATATCTGCACTCCACGCTACAAAAAGCCCGATCTCCTCTGCACACGAAGAAGAAAACGGAGAGCGGTTGTAATGAGAAAAGTGAACAACCAAAACCATCTCCAGTAATTAATTAGATCATTTACAAAAGCAACTCTGATCTGGGCATCAAATATGACAACGAAACCAACTCTGATCACTGTTCAAAAAAAATGCTTATATTTATAACACTGAAAGTCTGAAACAAAATGGTTTACTAAAGAAACCCAGAAGATTTGTAGTTGCGATGATCGGAGCCAAGATCTGACTTAAGAAGAAGGAGGAGGAGGAGAAGAAGAAGAACAAACCCACTAAGACTTGAAGTCGTTAGTAGAAGAACAAAGACACCGACTTCACTCACTTGTACATGTAAATGTCTTTGCCGGGTAAAAGCCTCTGTTTACAGAGAAAACATTCGTCGAGAAACGAAATCTCCGGGAGAGGTGATGACGAAGAACACAGCGCTAGCGATGATGATGAAGACGACGACGAAGATGGAGGTGGAGGAGGAGGAGGTTGTGGTGGTGGTGGCGGCGTGGGTCTCATGATCATCGTAATTTTGTTGATGACCTGTGGGCTTTTGTTAAGATTTTTATGGGCCTCGAGGAGAATACTCAATCCCACCATCTCTCATCGTCTCTCTCCCTCTCTCAGGCGGTGATTGACTGATTGTGCTGCTGGGAATGTTAAACTTCGGTTTTTAATAAAAAAAAGAAAAAAAAAAAAAAAAAGAAAAGAAAAGGTGGGTCCCATTCTACAGCAACAGCAGAAAGATCAGAAGCAAGGACGATTGGGCGAAGTGGGACGATCTAGCTTGTAGTGCTTGTTTAGAGACACGTTGCCACGTTTCTTTTCGCTTTTTCTTTTTTTTTTTTTTTTTACAAAATCTCTCAATTTATTCCCCTCAATTAATAAGAATTAATAGAAATTAGGAAGGCCTGAAATTAATGATTCCAAATGGAAGGTTCCAACGAGGCACTGATGTACAAATCCTTGGCTGCTAGCCAAATGCATCTTCTTTCGCCATGTAGAGGTTTCTTCACTTCTTGGTCCGTTTGGTTCAGAGTCGGAATGGGAATCAGAATTGGCTGAATTGGATTCTCATTCCCAGGGTGGAATCAGGAATGGGAATTAATGAGGGCGGATTTGGCCCTCCAATGATATTGTGACACATGGCACCTCGGAACAATTAGGTGACACCCGAAATCACTTAGGCAACAACTTGCCTTATCCAGTTGATGGTGTCCCACCTGGTGGCCCAGGTGCAACATGGCAGCCTGGCCCTGGCGCGACCTGGCGACCTGGCACAGGCGTTGACCTAACGACCTGTGAGACGTGCTCGCCGACAAATTCGGCATGCATATCCCAACACTCCCACGAACCATGGAAGTTGGCCCACATACCGAACGATCTGGAGGGTGGTCAACGCACGTGACGATTGCCTCCGAGAATCTCGGACCACTTAGGTGACCTCTCGGAAATCTCGGATATGGTGCGTGAAGCCCACGCCAAACAATGCCTATATAAAGGCACCAACCCCACTGACATGAGGGGGGCAAGTAAGCATATTCTAGATCTCATAGTTTGTGATTTTTAGCTCGCAATCTACTATGAGAGTACTGACTTAAGCATCGGAGTGACATCGCCGGGTCAGCCACCCTGGGTCCTCTGACATTGGTTCCTCGTAGGTTCCTAAAGAGCGACGAAGCTCAACAATCAATACAGCTCGCCACAAGGCAGGTCGGCACTCTGGTCAGTTCGACACTTAATAGGCAGTTCGACACTCTGGTCAGCTCATCACCTAATAGGTAGCTCGGCCCTCTGGTCAGCTCGTCACCTAATATGCAGCTCGGATCTGTCAATTCGACACCTAACCTGTCCAACTCGGCCCAGTTAACTCGGCACTTAATCTGCCCCCAGCTCAGACCAAATGATGAGATACTTAACCAAAAAATTGATAAATAAACAAAAATTGATACATGAGGAATAAAATTTTGATTTTAATCAAAGACCTAAGTTTAAAATTTCGATACCTATCGACTTATATTAAGGGCTTTTTTATACGCTTTTATAAGGGTGTTTCAGGGTTTAACTTTTGGCTCATAGGAAAACGAGCCCCCCCCGGCCCCCCATATACAAGTCTGATATGCCCCTACCGGCATACTTGATTGGATCTCTTACCTCTATTACCGCAAACCAAAACGTTTTTAGTATACTGAATCCGACACGACATGTTGCCGATACGGTTCTTTTCCGCTAAGAATCGTACAAGATTCTTCATGAAAAAAGGCTGGCTCTTCCAGGTCCAGGCAGGCCCAGGGCCCAGGGTCAGCTTGCATGTCTATCTCAAATTTCAAAATAGATGAATTCTATTTACCACGTAATGCGCTATTTGTTTGCCAAGTGTAAATTGGAGGAACAATCGAGGAGAGAGCAGTGGGACCTGGAGAATCGGATTTGATATGTGTCGGAGACCATTTGACCGTCAAATTTCAGTATCACATCCATCAACCTACTCACCCTTTTACACGCGGCCAACAAACTTGTGGGCCGTGGGCCTGTGGCATCATCTACCACTCTTCATCCCGGTGGACCCACCGTCCACCTCCGGAGTCATGGGCGGCCACGAGGACAAAAACCGACTGTCGATCGTAAATCGTTGTATTGTTATTGGGTGGTGAAGTTATATTGATGTCTTTCTCAGTCAGCAGGGAAATGCAAGCCATCAGAATCCCAATCTATTTGTAAATGGTCTTGCTAAATGGGCCTAGAAGTCCAAGTGTGAACCGTAATTGTGCAAACAGAGGCATCATTAATTGTCGCCATCATCATTGGACGGTTCCAACTTGCAAATGATGCATGTGACCACAATGGGCTTGGCCCAAAAAGATGGTGACACGTGTTTGGCCCATTATTAACCATATTGAAATTTGAAACTCTCAAGTCTCAAACCCATTAATTAAGCCAGTACAAAGGGTTCGAAATCGGAAAAACTTTGTATGTTTGCAACCAATGAACGGGTTTAATATAAGTGGTAACTAGAGGTGGGTAGGTTTTGATTGGTCAAATCTCATTCAGTGTCGTGCATTTCCGGCATCATAGATTTAACCCAGTATAAGGTTCTCTCTCCTTAGACAATTGTGGTGGGTCTATCTAAGACAACAACATCTAATGTTGCAGAAATGCAGTCCAGTGTCCTCGCTACATGCCCATGATTTTGTACATCACAGGATCTGGGCTCACCATGAACAGTCCAATAAGGGAGGAACAATTAAACCTGAACCTGAATCAGGATGACCAGAGGCAGAAGGGATATGGTCCTACTCCTGCGGATGTACTGTAGCTCAAATGAAAAAAAACCGATTTCTCCTAAGGCTCCGTTTGGAAAGACTATAAATACAAATATCTACAGTATAAAATCTAGTATTTTGAATATATTTGCATTGTACATATTTGTATTAAGGCTCAGTTTGAAAGGACCGTAGAATGCAAGACCTTATATTTTGTATGTATTTATATTGTATATATTTGTATTAAGGCTCAATTTGAAATGACAATAAATATAATAGAAACATGTAGAGTGCAAAACATTGTATTTTGTATTATTTTGTATGTATTTTCTATGTATTTGCATTATACATATGTATTTGTAAATTTTGGAAGGAGTACAAATACATAGAGTGCAAAACCTTGTATTTTGTATTATCTTGTATGTATTTACACTGTACATATTTGTATTTGTCATGGTTTTCAAAACTGGACTAGACCGAAAACTGGATTTTTTTCCCCAAAACTGGATTTTTTTTCCAAAAAACGTTGATTTGATCAGCAAATTGCTGACTCAGGCGGTTGAACCATTCGAACTATTTGAACCGTTCAACGATTTTGACCGTTTTAATTTTTTTTATTTTTTGTTGGAATGGGTAATCGAACGGTTGGACTATTTTACCGAGGAACTGGACCCCTGACCGGTTCGTTGTCCGGGTCGATTTTAAAAATCTTGGTATTTGTACTCTTAGGGGGCGCTCCTTTTTTGGATTTTGAGAGGGGGGAAAGTTGGTCAATGGGATTTTGGTTCCCATTGACCAAGAAACCCATGTTCTTTTTTCATATTTATGTGGGGACCATGGAAAGTTTATTTTTCGGGGTATCATTTACACGGGTAAGTGATACCCATCTCCTAGGTGGGTATATAAATAATGGAATTTTATGGATAAAATGATAATTGCCTTATTTACATGAGAAATAAAAGAACATGGGTAAATGCACTTACCCAGGTAAGTGTTTCCTAGGAAAAACTTACCCAGGTATACGTGTTTCTTAGGAAAAACTTACCTAGGTAATTGCATTTACCCGCGTAAATAACTTACCGAAAAGTGAACGAGGCCTTAAAGGAAATGGTCCAATTCATGACAAATGATAGGGCCACACACTAGGGGACAATGGAGGCATTCCATATATATGGATGTGATCCATGCATATAGGTGGAGGGTGAAGAGAGAGTCCTCCATTAATTTGCAACCAAACTGTCTATAGACTCTAGAACCCATCACTACCATTCCATCTACTTTGGATGTATTTGTCCTTCAAATTTTATTATTTTTAATCTTATTGATATCCCTATCCCAAAAGTGAATTCAGTGCGTCAATTTTCTCACACTCCTCAGCAAAATGGTGTGGATGAGAGAAAATATTGCCATGTGATTGAAACTGCTCGGGCCTTGTTGATTTAAATGTCAGTTCCTAAAATCTATTAGAGTGATGTAGTTTTCACCTCTTGTTGTCTCATAAATCATATGCCTTCTTCAGTCCTAGACGGCGAGTCACCTTTCTCTATCTTGTTTCCTTCCACCTTTGCCTTTCTCTCTTCCTCCTCATGTGTTTGGTTGTGTGTGTTTTGTTCACAAATTAGGTTCAGGCCATAAGAAACTTGATTATAAAGCTATTCTTGGTTATTCTCGTACTCAAAATGCTATAACCCTATTTTAGTGAAAGCTTTTGTTGGTCTAGATGTTACCTTCTTTAAGAGTTTACCCTATTTCTCTGGACATGAACCTTCTCCTTCTATTCCTCTTCCCTCTAAATCTGGTGATGTCTTTATTCTCTTGCCTATTATAGAGGAGCCAATTCGACCATCTATTCACAGAGTGTACTCTAGACATGATAGACAACCAGAATTGTTGCTAGTAGTTGATCCAGTTTTAGATTCTGACATGCCACCAGTCTTTGTTGTTGATAGATCCACCATCCTCAAATCTTGATCTTCCTATTGCCCTTTAGAAAGGTAAGCGTACTTGCACAAATCACCCCCTTTCTCGATATGTCTCCTTTGCTCACTTGTCTCCCTTACATCAATATTTCATTTCCCTTCTATCCTCTATTTCTCTACTATGTTCTCTATAGGAAGCCCTCTCATCTCCTAATTGGAAGAAGGCGATTGATGAAGAATTTCATGTTTTTCAGTCCAATAATACTTGGGATCTCACTTCCTTATCACTTGGAAAGCAGGTCGTTGGTTATCGGTGGGTATATACAATTAAACATCGTCAAAATGGTAGTATTGAGTGGTTTAAAGATCAACTTGTTGCAAAGGGGTATACTCAGACCTATGGCGTGAACTATTCAAAAACATTCTCTCCTGTGGCTAAAATAGGTTCTATACGAGTGCT